CATATACTTTAGGCATTCGTGGATTCATATCGGCTGCAGTTCCTACCCTTTCAATGTTTTCTATTGAAATAGAACTCTCTCTCCATCATGTCACTTTCGATATTGATATTTCCAAGCGGTCCATGTAACAAAGCCAAATCACAAAACGTCACAGTGCTTCGGGAATGCGTAGGAGTTAAGTAGGTATACGATCAGATTGGTCCAGGTCAAGTCACAAAGCCAGTCGTTGTTTTGAAGAAAGTTAAATTTAATATTTATAAGCTCATACAAACAGAAACAGAAAAGAGAAAAAGTGGTTTAAAATTTTCAATTGTTGATACAAGTGCTTTGTTGCTGTTGTCAAAACATTGCGATCCGTTCTACGTAATAAAATTATTGTCATCTTTAAATAATTAATACATTTTCTAAAGGTTACTCGTAAATTTCTAGTTATTGCAATAATAAAATAAATGAATACATAAATAACAATAAATTGAAGATATATGTGTACCGTTTTAGATGTTTAAATATTTGTTATTGTTTACTTTTTTAAAGGATAATAAACAAAGTATTGCATGAAATGAAACATCAATTTGTATTTTGACATTTTCTGTCTTAGCTTGGGCTTAGCTTAATCTCACCGTTAAAATGTCTATAAATACGAAATCATAGTTTAACCTTAGGGTGAGATCTATAGTGCGCACTTGGACTTTGCTCAGACTTACCTTACGAAAAACTTTGCTTAGTGTACACTAAGGTTAAACTATGATTTCGTATTTATAGACATTTTACGGTGAGATTATGTCCCAAGCTAAGACAGAAAAATGTCAAAATACAAATTGATGTTTCATTTCATGCAATACTTTGTTTATTATCCTTTAAAAAAGTAAACAATAACAAATATTTAAACATCTAAAACGGTACACATATATCTTCAATTTATTGTTATTTATGTATTAATTTATTTTATTATTGCAATAACTAGAAATTTACGAGTAACCTTTAGAAAATGTATTAATTATTTAAAGATGACAATAATTTTATTACGTAGAACGGATCGCAATGTTTTGACAACAGCAACAGAGCACTTGTATCAACAATTGAAAATTTTAAACCACTTTTCTCTTTTTTGTTTCTGTTTGTATGAGCTTATAAATATTAAATTTAACTTTCTTCAAAACAACGACTGGCTTTGTGACTTGGACCTGGACCAATCTGGATCGTATACCTACTTAACTCCTACGCATTCCCGAAGCACTGTGACGTTTTGTGATTTGGCTTTGTTACATGGACCGCTTGGAAATATCAATATCGAAAGTGACATGATGAGAGAGAGAGTTCTATCTTCAATAGAAAACATTGAAAGGGTAGGAACTGCAGCCGATATGAATCCACGAATGCCTAAAGTATATGTTCGAACTGGATGTTTTCAGGTAATATTGTGTTCATAAATATGTATGGTTTTTCAATTTGATATATTATACCTCTTCTCAAATGATTTTAAATACATATGTTGAAGACTTTTGTCTTCTGACTTTCAGAAACATAACATATATGTGACTAATAATAATTTATTGACATTACAGATGGTGTGTGGTGATCTGAACAGCATAAGCCAATCTACAGTCTGTTTAATTATAAATAAAGTCTCTGCAGAGTTGAGTAAATTACTTCCTAGATTTGTAAATTTTCTAAGAAATATGAACACAGCCAAAACGAAGTTTGAAGAATTAGGAAGATCTAATACTCACCATGGCCTAAACAGTATAATCGGAGCTATTGACTGCACCCATATAAAAATTAATAGACCCGAAGGTATCGCTCACTCTGAAGCATACAGAAATAAAAAAGGGTATTTTTCTGTAAATGTGCAAGCAATAATAGGGCCTGATATGGAAATATTTGCTATAGTGACTAGGTGGCCTGGCAGTTCACACGACAGCAGGATATTTAGAAAATGCCTGTTTTAGTAGGTGACAGCGGTTATCCAGCACTTAACTTCATGTTAACAACACTTTTAAATCCAATGACAAGAGCTGACAATATTTATAATTATTCTCAAATAAGAACTAGGCATATTTTTTAAAGGTTTTTCGGAGTGTGATAAAGGAAATTTCCATGTTTACAGCTAGGACTACAGTCAAAATTGACAAATACTAGTTATATATAATTATAGCTTGTGTTGTATTGCATAATGTAGGTATACAGAGAGGGGATGCCTATGATGATGGTGATCTTGCTGACAGCAGAAGTTGAGTAACACAGAAACAATGAAAGATCTCCTACAGGTCTGGCATTCCGGCAATCTGTGATTGCACAATTTAACTAGGTAATTTGTTTGGTAATAAAGAATATCAAAACAAAACTTGTTTCATTTTAATCATTTATTTTCTGATTCTTTTTTTAAGTGTAATACATATTTCTAATACTAATTTATATTTTTGTTGAAGAAATTCTATTTCCAACAGATTTTTTTAATTTCATATGTTCCACTCCTATCTCAAATTTTTTAGAGTAGTCAGGTAATAAATGGTAGAAGATTCAGGGAAACGAAAATAACAGATGTGAAGCAGAGACATCGGTTAGGTTATAGTTTGAATTTCGTTGTCACTATAATATGCCAGGGCTGCCAGGTGACATACAAAATCACACCAGTTATTTTTAAGATTTCTCAAAAATGGGGTTTGAACAATTACATAAATAATATAAATAAACAATAATAAATACCATAATAATGTGTAATTATTTTAATTCATGCATTTCATAGGTATTTATCAAGATCATTTATAATTTCTTTGAATTCAAATTCTATTTTTCCCAAAGTCTATGGAACTCCGATACAAAATGGCAACACCGTTCATTAAAAACCGACAAAAATAAAAAGTCCAGTAAAAGATATGATGGTAAAGCAAATTTTGGGCCATCATTTTTGTTAGGCTTATAGTCAAAGTTTTTGGTAAGTCGTCGATTTCGTGGACTTGAGATTAAGCTAAGCCAACACTAGGGAGAGATTCGCAGTTTGCTCTATAAATACCGACTGTGTCTTAGCTCGATAGTTAAGTCAGAGCAAAGTCTAAGTGCGCACTATAGATCTCACCCTAAGTGTCTGTTATGTAGTGGATCTAATTATTGTCTAAAGTCAAAGGCAAAGTCAAAAATAACTTATTCATGTAGGTAACACAATTCACACTTGTGAACGTCAAAAAAGAAATATACATTTAATGCTTCTATTTTTACAATTACCACCAGTTCTCAAATCAAGGGCGTAGATCGGAAGAGAACTGGCAATAAACTCTCCGCCACTCTTTTTAATCGCCTAGTTATTTCGCAACCATTTCACCATGTTCCACATGACATCTTAAGTAATAAATAATAATAAAATAAATTAAAAACAAAGATTTGTCCTCTATCGCGGGAACAACACGCAAATATATAGTCGAAGCAACTAACATCGCCGCATACACGAATTCAAATACTTTTCATTTCGTAGTCGACAAAAGGTGGTCTTTTGTCGCCTATTTACAAATCAAAAACATACATAACTTTTTAATTATAATTCGTTATAATCGGTGTAATGTAGGAAAATAAAGCAGGCAAAAATAAACCTAAATGTCTAACATGTAATTTAGACAAGAATCAGGAAATAGGTCCTAGTTAATTACGAATAGAAAGTGTCTTGGAACGAGTTTCTAGATAACTGTAGGACATGTATAGGGTGTGGATTTTAACAGCACATATTTTTGTGTTGCAGTTTTTTACAAAAGTAAATTAAGTTAATTGGTATCACCAATATTTAAGGTACGTACTTCATGCCTCGTAATCTCCCAGTGGAATATGGGGCAGACAAATTTCTCTGTCTGTTTCATTGGTAATATGCAATATGCAATGGACAAGTAGGTCGGTAGCCTAACACATACCGTAAATTGTTGACTCACACATGTTTTTTTTTAAATGAGCCGATAGTGCGCTTACGCAGGTCCGTGCCATGGATATCGAGCTTGACTCGGGAACTGTGGGACTGGGTCTACACTCAAAAACCCTCTGCTCAGAATGGTAGCGAGACCCCACCCACTAAAAACACCTCAGCCCATCACAGTCCCTTAAAATAGGCCCTCGGGGTTCGCCAGGCATTCACTATTACGCATTATATTCTGCCACATCTCTGAAAATCACCTGAAGATATGCCGGATTCCTAATGATGTTCTTCAACGTACGAGCAGTTAATTGTGTATGTAGAAATTAAAATCCATTAGGCAATCAACTTTTTTATTTTTTTTGCTCAATGGCAAATGTGAGCGCAATTAAGTGCTAACAAATGCAATGAAAAGAATAAAAATAATTTGTGTAGGTGTAGAAACTAAGCAATTAAACATAGATTTTTGATATTAAATTTTATTGAATACCTTATTAATACAGTATTTACTTATTACTTAAATATATTAACGTGATTTTTGGTTCTTAACAGAAACTTCACAATACACAACACAATGTAATAAATAATTGTCTTGACTAGTTTTAACTTTAACTAATTATTTTCATGTTTATTTATATCTTAAATGTTTTGTTCATATGTGACCAGTAATTAAATACTTTATATTAGATTAAAAGTATATATTTAAAAAAGTATAAATACTTCTATATAAATGTTATACATTTTCAACAGTTACTATTTAATATATGGCCTGATTATCATATTAAGTTTTTTCTTTCAGGAACATTAATGTGTGTTTTGATAATCGGTTTATTTTAAATAAATAAATAAACTAAATCTAACATTGAAAAATAACAATAATCATTTAAATTTTTTAAATTAAAAACTTAATGATAAAGATAATTTGATGCATCGTATGTCAAAATCAGAACTCTTATCTTTGAAACCTATCAAATGCCGCGCAGCGTAAAATAAAATGAGAGACTCTGTGTCAATTACAACAGCTTTTTCCGCAAGCTAATCTCTTCCACTCTGTATTTTTAAAATTTGTTAAAATAATTTCATTTAATTGTTAAATTAAACAATGACCTTAATAATCTGTGTAACCGCGCGTTGTCTGTCCAACTCCATCTAGCGATACAGGTCTGTAGTAATTTTGCATTTCCCCCCAACCTCTTGGCGCCACATTGAAATTGGGCCCACTGACAAGCGGTAAACGCGGGCTTTTTGGTGATGCGTAGACATCATTCAACTTTGTCGGTGCCATTGGGACTGGAATTTCTACATTTTCGAGCTTAATAATAGGAGATGTAACTGGGAAGGGTTCCATTTTTGGTATATTTGAAGTATGTTTTAGCGCTGATTTCGGGTAAGTTTTTTGGTTACGCAAACTAGATGGCGGGCGGTATGGCGTGTCATGGTTGGCGACCGGTGTTGGTGTTTGCGAAATATTTGATGTGTTTCTCCCTGAAATTAATAATAGAATATGTTAGAGTAATATCAAACAATAATTAGTATTATTATTACATTTCTTCCGTCCATGACATATTAAGATTAAACAAGTATAACATTAACATTAGATTACAGGCCAATTCAAAAATTAATTAAAAACAAGTTCATGTATATTATATGTTTGAATAAAATATAAACTGATTTTCAGTTCTTTCATTATTTTTTCAAGTGGTCAATCATGCGAATCGCATATACCAAATAAATTTATGCCATTACCTCGTCCCTCATGAACCCATTTGACAGAGCGCTTCTTCCGATTGACATACATGCTCTGCCCCTTGGACATTTGGTTACTGGAATCAGATAAGGACTTGGAGATGGCTCTCGCGAGGTCCATCTGTTCCTTTACCGTCGGATGAACACCCGGCACGTAGAACGCTGATGATGCGAAGGTCTTTTCTGTAATTATCAGGGTAAGATGCTTTCAAGAGATTTCCTTGAATTTCTTAGAATAAGTTATACTTGTGATTGAATGTTTTTGACAACATATAGGAAACATTCTGTTCGTGAGAATAAAACTTCCTATATTTATTGACCGACCTATAAGTACAATTAAGACCTTGTTAAATACAATAAATCTTGATTAATTAATAACATGACCTCAATAATAAAAAGTGGAGTCAGCAGTGAACTTGGTCCTAGTTTGATAAGAAGTTGATAAGATAATACGGCAATGACCACGTTTTGCGTGTACGCAATATCAGCAACTCGGTTTATAACAAAACAATTTTAATCCTTTGTCCTATGTATACGTAATAGCTGAAAAATGTTTTGTCCGAACGAGCTTATCTCACGAACGACTGGTTCGAATTAAATAATTGTTTTAGAGTTTGATAGGCCATTTATTATTGAATAACGAAAATTTATTTGTTGATAAGTTCTATATTAAAATCGCTGGTAAGATTTCTATAGTAGGCTCGATTGTGTATATTGATTTAAATCATACAATCGTAAAAGGTTAGAAGTTAGAAACGTTTCTAAGTATACAACATTAGAATGGCACTTTGCCAAATGTACAAAACATAATGTGGATTTAGAATTAGCTATTGTATTCGTTCGGATAATTTCATGATTTTCTTATAAAAATGCCGAGTTCATGGTTCAGAGATTATGTACTTTAGAAACGTATTTCCTTATTGATAATTGATATAAAATTAAGGTACTTCCTAAATATATAACTTCATATGCCTCATTAGAAAATAGATATGCAGTGCTTTTGTTTTTTTAATAGGACAAACGGGCAGGAGGCTCATCTGATGTTCGGTGATACCCCACAAGGACACTTTCTATGACAGAGGCTCGCGAGTGCCGTGCCGGCCTTTTAAACTCTTTTTTGAAGAAGACCACCTTTTTTTTAAAGCCCCCCAGTCGAATTAGTTCGGAAATACTTCAGTTGGTTCCACATAGTAGTGATTCCACAGCCTAAAAAACGTTCAGTTCATGTGGAACGAAATTGTTTTTTTACATGGAAAAAACATCGTACCCTGTAACCATGGTAACACAACCAGTAAAATAATTATTCCATTTTTACATTACGGTACTAGTATCTGCGACAGTAAATTAGTCAAACAGTATAGGAAAAAACAACTTTGCTTAGTGTATCATATTACTTAAAGTAATGATAATGTACTTTTTACATTATCATTGCATCGACAAAACGGAAATGACGTCATTGTCTGATCCACGTGAGCCACTTCAAACATGACTCCGCTCAACATGTCTGCCATGTAGTCTGTTTGTTCGAGAACAATTGGGATTATGAAACTTGCAGTGTCAAAAAGGAAAGCTTGAGCTAAGGAAGTGTCCAAATATTTTAAATTACTCTTTATTTATTGTTAAATATTGCATTTGCAACAATGTCAATATTATTACTTATTTAACTATAACTGTATTCAGCAGTGTTGGCCAAGTGGATTCAGCGTGCACCTCTCATCCCTGCGGTCGTAGGTACGATCCCCGATTGGATCACCAATGGACTCTGTCAATGTGCGCATTTAACATTCGGTCGAAGGAAAACATCATAAGGAAACCGGCTTGCCTTAGACCCAAAAAGTCGACGGCCGCGGCGTGTGTCACGCAAAGGAGGCTGATCACTATTGACTATTAGATTTACAAATGATCATGAAACATACAGAAATCTGAGCCCAGATGTGAAAAGCACAGGTGCTTTTAATTAACATAATTAGGATTTTTGCATAGAATATTATAGATGAAAAGGGACCAATGGTATCGTTTTTATATTTACAAAAGATTTGAAGGGCTTTGTCTACCTTGGTTTAATAAGCTGAGACTGCTGGGTAGTTAGTACGCTAACGTAGCCAAATCTAGAGCAAGTTTTAATACGAACTGCCAAATCAAAATTTTTATTTCTTATTAAGCAAATACCTTCGAACTAGACAAATAGTTGACAACTTTAACTTGACGCTGTTAAGGTTTTATTAAAATGTTTTCGCGTATAATATAAAAATATTACTAACCGAATTTGCGGTCTTTCTTAATGACATGCTCATCAGCATCAGCCGCTGGAGTGAAGATCTTGTTCAGATCGACTTCCTTGTCTCCCACGATGACTGGTTTGTTATCTAGGTCGTCCTGAAATTTGTATATGAGAGTATAGTATACCTACTATTTTTTTATTGTGAATATTATGACAGTAAAAATGGCGATTTTGCTGGTATGATTAAGTTTACGAATAACAAACAATAATTTTAAATGACTTGGATATTTAATATACGTTCTAATTAAAATTAAAAAAATCTCATAGTGTTATGATTTATGTATAAATGTAATGATAATGTTTTGTATACTTTTATATAATACATGCAAGTTGCATTTTCATACACTTGACTTAGACGTTAAACTTTTAACAACTTTAAAAAAATCCGATTTTAGTCGGGTTTCATAAGCGAGACATTTCAGTCTTTCGAAACTGTCACAAAATCAATCAAGGTTTTACCGTCCTTATTTCAAGTAAGGCAGGTTTTTTATTATATATCTATAAGTATGTTGAGAACTAGATAATAAAAAAGGGTTTAGGAGGTGTTAGTTTGTTAAAATTATGTAAGTAGCATAATTCAAATATAAATACATATACTTAACATGCATTTAAAAGAAAATTAAACCGTAAATCTGGGCCACAGTCTGTTTGGCATTAGAAAACGTCGAACGATATATTTTCATTTAAATGAAAAAGTAATACCATTTCATGCATTTATTAGCATTATTACATAACACTAAGTCTGAAATGTGAAAAAGTGTTCGTAAAGTATACGTCTGTAGTTATAACGCATAATTATTTACACTCTCCCGTGAATATTTACAAAATGATTTTAACATTATTTGTCTTACAAGCGGCTCTTCTGGAAGTTGTATGGAGGAATCCTGGCTCACTTCGACGTCATTCTGTATATTCAAATAATTATTTTAATTCAGGAGATTGATATAGAATATATAGTTCACTAGTTCGCGCTATTCATGGATCTCTGAATTAATTTATCGTAGGGTGACAAATTTATCTCCTCAACCATACCAAACTGAAATACTGAGCTTTGATAACTATATTTCTACTGTTACAATGAGTTGCTATTTTTCGTTTTTATTTTGTTGGGTTTAGTTCTTATCCAATTTCCTATTATTTTTCTATATCATTTTAATATTGGGATAGCTGAATTATTAAGTGTCGTCTATTCCGTAACTAATTTGTCAAATGAAGTTGCTTGTCAAAAGTTATTTGTTACCATTATTTTGATAATAAATGTGTTAATAATTTACGATTTATAATAAGATCGCTAATGTTTTATTTATGTTTTTCAGATATATTTGCAAGATTGCTACTGTTATTTAGACAAGTTTAACAATACGAGTCCAAAACAGATCCATCCACATACATAATAAATAACTAGTTTTTGGCCCAAACCCAACAGACACGATGTTTTGGAGCAAACTGTGTCTTTTTGTTTTGGAATGGGGACGAATCGAGCGTTGAATGATCAATGAGTGAAATTTTAACACATTTCCTGACAAGTTTCAAAATTATCCTATCAAATAAATGGTACATATTATCTAAGAATTTCTGGAATATTTTATTAAGATTTAAGAAAGAGGGTACTATTTAAAAATAATCTCAATTTACTTTTAATAACTTGTAATAGTTATTTTAAACTGATTTAGAATATTTGAAAGAAAACATTAAATGATTCTCAAAGACAATATTTTTACGTTTACTAAGCAATATTCAAAAACACTTCAGACAGTAAAAGTTCACAATTGTTTTGGTTCGTACTTGAAAACCGGGGTCATTGAATTTGAACTTTTAAAATATTATTTTTAACCGTGTTGGCGTCAGTTACTCGGGTTCGATGTCCGGCAGATTAAAATTCAGATCACTGCCTCATCAAGCGCAGTGTAAATAAAACAGGTGATCTTTACACGACATTTTGATACTTGAAATAATTAAGAAAATCAGCAGCTGTTTGATCGCACTAATTAATTTCTGCAATAAATTATAATGCATTTAGACTTGGTTTAAAGATAAATTTTCTAATATATAAATGTATTAATAATGTAAAAGACCTAGAGTTTCTTATACAGAAATAAGTTGAAATATGTATAATTAATTGATATTTCTCTAAATGAAAAATTTATTCGGGTTTTCTGCGCAACAAAATAACGTGATTTTAAATTCACCAACATCGCAAATATTTCTTTTATTCATGTTTAACGGCCGTTGATGATGTCATGTTTTTGTTATTTCATGTTTAACATATAGCAGCTAGAGTTTGTTGATTTTCTAAACCAGTCTAGAATCTTTGTAGACTAGAAGAGGTGAGTGACATGACCTACACCTGTAGGATTTTGATACGGTGCCAAGGTTTACAATAATTAATCACACATCTATTTTTATTGATTTATCCTAAGGTAATCTGTTTAAAAGTACTAAGAATATAACATAACTTTGAAATTTTCTATTACAAACTTCGCCAATATAGACATTCATTTCTTCCTCCTTACTGAAGGTTCTATTTTTAATCCTCAATTTCTCCTAGGAATCTCGGAATACAAAGATGTAGTTTTCTATCTGCTCTTGGGATGAAACCCGTTAATCTGACCAAACTACGTTAAAGGGCCAGAAGTCCTGTTGAAGTTGCATTAAATATTAATTCAGTTACGATGATTTTATATTCAAAGAAACATACGTTTTTATCGACGGCTAGAGTGGATTTTGTTGTCTACAGCGTCAGAAATACCATTTCACATTGTTAAACATCTTAATCTAAAATCTCATTTTGATATCAAAGAGAATAATTAATTACCACTATATCACATCCGCCTACTATAACATATAAAGTATGAACTATAAACTATTGTCTATGGCTTCAAGGTTCTTCTATTTTAACTAGATCTGGAGATACGCCAGGAGCAGTTGCAATCGTTATAAGTAATACTTTTATATGACCAATAGTTACGACCTTTGATGTAAAAATTGTTTATTAATAAATTGTCTTCCGCGTATTTCATTATAGTTTTTTCATGATTCATAATGTCTTAGGTCATCTAATATTATGCTTTTGTAGTTAGTAGTGTTTCTTTATTTAGCTTATCTATAACTCCATATAATATTACTCATAAGCGTACTTAGTTTAAAATATGCTTAGTATTATACGTAAGTTAAAATATTGTTTGGCAATATACATACGGTATGTTAAAGAGCCCAATATGCCTCCTTGCGCCACACCCGGTTAGAAGCTTAGCACTAATTGTAATAAATTAACTTACCCAACTTACAGGGAACAACTTATAACTGAGGTTGGTAAGGAATTCCTTCTTTTGAGGATCAAACATATCCGATGGCTTAAATCCACGCTTCGTAATGAGGGTGCTGTTGACACTGGAGGAGCTTTTGACATCGTCGAAAGCGTCCTTGTGGACCACTCGATCGTTGATTTTGTGGATACTTGACATTTTGTTGGAGGAAAATTGACTCTCACTTATTGTCATCATCTTCACTGTTTTAAATGTCTATATTACTTATAAACACTAGTTTTACTCACTATTGATGACTTCGCTGTCACACTACAATGTTACCAACTGACGTCAATATAAGACACATAGACATGACAAAATTTTCATGTATGAGCCAAAAATTTAATTTCATATAAAAGTGAATTCTTTTTTTACTAGAATAGAGATGGTTTTCCTTTCAAAAGAATGAAGCTCAAGATAAATCGAGACTTAAAAATTTAGATCACTTACTACTTAAAATTTTCAAGCTAAAAGTTTGCAAAGCAAGATGATCTGTAATGAGAGAATAATAAGGTGTAAAATCTCGTGTACTATTTTAAACAGAAATAGCACAAAAACCGTTGCCAGGCGAATTATTTCATGTTCTGTTTACGAAGTCGAGAAACACTGTAATAGCATTTTTATTGACGTTTTAACAATATTCCAGATCAAAATGTTTCAAATGTATAAAAATCTAATTTGCAAATAAAAACTAGAAGTTAATCTTCAAAACTGTTAAGCTAGACTAACAGCCGGTTATTATAGCAATAACATTAACTAATTATCAGCGAATATATAAGTCTGGACTTTCGATATATTATATTTATATGAATAATGGACAACTGGAGAATCTATAAATTACTAGCTATAAAAATATTAAAAAGTTTTATCAACGTTTCCTACCGGTAATGGTTTTAAAAATCCCTTAAAATTTTATAGCCAAATAACGTAATTAATTAAAATTATATTTATAATGTCATAATGCCAAATCAACGAAAGTGAATTATTCGTCAGATGGTAAGGCCAAAGCCCACGCGACACAATCACAAGACACAACAAAAACACTGTACATTTAAAACGATGTGTGTTTGACGCGAGGAGTTTTCTGACTAACTAAAATAAGTCTCACCGCATTGCATAATGCGCAGAAAAGCTTCGTGTGGTGTAGGGTGACCGAGGTGTAATGGTTTTTCCAGACAGTTTCATTTTTGTGATTGTTCAAAATGTAGCGCCACCTACAATCTTATCAATCGCCAAGCTACTGTGATGATGCATACTCTGAAATGTAGTTATTTCAGCCGCTAAGGATATACAACTTCTCAACCTTAGCCACTACGGTCTACGGCCAATCAGTGGTTAGAGTGGTTTGAGCAGCCTCTTTAGGTTGAAGAACAGTACAACGTATCTCAATAAAACTAATCTTCTGTGATTTCAAATGAAATTTATAGGACGTTGATGCCATTAAAATGCCAGATGGACTGTGGAATCGACTCCCGGTGGGGGTCTTCCCTGAGAGATACGACCTCCAACTATTCAAAGTTAGAGTGAACTGCTCCCTCAAAGGCCGGCAACCCACCCAGTAAAAATGGGTGCCTATGGGCTGCGCGATGACTGCCGTTGATGGGCGTCCCATAGGCTCGTGTGCAAATTTTGTTCGTTTTATGAAAAGAAAAAAATGATAATTTGTAATATTTTTTTGTTTATGACAGCAACCGATCGTTTCGTTTTGTTCGATCGGAAAATTATAAACAAAAAAAGCAGTCCAAACATACGTATTTTCAAGAGGTTGTGTATAAAGCAATAGCAATATAATGTCCATACGAATATTAATTCGGCTCTTTTGACAGCTCAGATAAACAGTTGATATTAACGCAGGACTATCCCACAAAAAACGAAATTATATACGCTCTAGCACACGATCAGTTGCCAGAGTCTAAATTTGTACTCCACAACTCCGCCCGCCCGTTTCGCTGTTTCGCCATCGAAACACCAACTGTTCAGCCTCCTCATATTTACACATTCGCTGAAATACTTAGTATCGATCAACGAAACAACCAATATGTTCCACTTATTGGAATTGGTTTATAGATTAGAACTAGCTGACCGGGCAAACGCCGCAAACGTCGTTTTGCCATATATATCATTTATAATAAAAAAATAGGGGTTGATCGTAGAGGGGTGAAAGTTAGGGGTTTGTATGTATTTTTTAATGCTGTATCATAAAACAGAAAAAAATATCTAAAAATATAAAAAAAATATTAGGGGGACTACCCTTAACATTTAGGGGGATGAAAAATAGATGTTGTCCGATTCTTAGACATACCCAATATGCACACAAAATTTCATGAGAATCGGTCGAGCCGCTTTGGAGGAGTATGGCAACGAAAACTGTGACACGAGAATTTTATATATTAGATAACACAACCAATTATTATTATTCATTATAGCATCGTTAGAACGTTAAATACCAAAGATTTAAGATAATAATTGCTTATTATATTTTCGCTTCCTGCCCTACATTTCCTGTAAGGCCATCAAATGCACTCGGCCAATGCAATTTCATGAATGTAAGTGTTAAATGATATCTGTAGCATCAACTCAAGTCTCTAACTGATATTTAACTTCATTCTTCTTCAATCCGTCCTGAGCGTCGTGGTCAGTAAGAAAGCATCTGGAGCGTACTATCTGCTTCCACCGGTTTCTGTCCGGCGCCTCTCTTATGACAGTGTATAGTTTTGTGGACGATGAGTCTTTCACTTGATCGGTCCATCACGTGATCTTTTGCCTTCTGTGTTACCAACCACGATCAGTTTCTCCAAGTTCTCATCGCCTCTGCGCATTGTATGACCGAAATAAGATAAAATTCCCTGTCGGCATATGGTAAACAGGCGAGTTCGTATGCGGAGTTGGGTCAGGATCGATGGTACACTTTGCAGTCTACGGTATTCTTAGCATTTCCCAGCACCACATCTCAAAAGCATCGATCCTTTGCCTTTCTCGAGCTAAGATAGTCCACGTTTCTTCTTCATAAATCATAAGGAAGGTAGGGAATTCTGGAGCCTGTATCATACATTTTGGTTTTGATATCAATTCGTCTTTACTCGTGCCGATTTGCCTTTTTATTATGAATATCCATAGCGCTAAATAACCTGCATCATGAGTACAAACCACATACACACCATCACACAACACAGCCGAATTTGGTATGACTTAGTTAAATGTATTTAATCATTTTTTCCTTTAGTTAATGTTTTGTATATAATATTATGTATTCATCTTTAGCTATATGTTTAGTATAATTGTTTTTTGTTGTAAATCATTTATGTTAGCTGTAGGATTATGATGTAAATAAATATTGTGAGTATGTAAAATGCGCAACTATTGGCTCGTCTGCGTCTAATCTATTAAACTGTTAGTTCGAACTGAATTTAACGCTACAGAAATGTTTAAATTCTAACTTTTTACAATTATTAATTTACCTTTTTTTAAATGTTACCGCTAAGTTAAAAAAGGAATGGGCTGGGATGAACACTGCCATAATCAATGTAAAAAGCCGGAACTAAAATTCATTAAAAAGATGTTAGATACGAAATCGGATTACTTAGTTGTATTACAGGTTTTACATAAGTAATTACTTAATTATACAAATAGAAAAATAACTCTCCTCCGACAAATACTAATTGAATGTTTGCAAATGCCTGAACTAGATTTGAGTTGGAATTCTCTAATCAACGCAATTAACGAGTCAAATAAAATTCAGGGTCAATGAGCGAGTGTTTAGCATAATACGAAATGTTTTGTTAAAATCCTGCAATGTGATAGTGTTATAACGTACGGCAAAGTATTCAAATAGAAAGATCTATTTATTTATTAACACTTCGTCAGTATAAATCAAATATAATACAATTGACATAATTAAATGAAAATAATAATCATCAGTGGCGCTACAACCTCTTTAGGTCGGGGCCTCAGATTTCTGAATCTGTTTCATGATCAATCTAATAAGCAAGTAGGTGATCAGCCTGTGCCTGTTACACGCCGTCGACTTTTTTTTGTGTCTTAGACATGTCGGTTTCCTCACGATGTTTTCCTTCACCGTTCGAGCGAATTTTAAATGCGCACATAGAAAGAAAGTCCATTGGCGCACAGCCGGGGATTGAACCTACGACCTCACGGATGAGAGTCGCACGCTGAAGCCACTAGGCCAACACTGTTCTCAATTAAATGAAAAGGAGGGCAATTTACCGCTTCTAGGACTTGTTTGTTTACCCAAAAAACGGGTAATAACTAAGCTAGACTAAGTAGGTACCTAACAAAAGTAACACTCAATTGAATTGTAGAATTGTGAAATTTACCGCCAACATCATACAACTTCGAGGCAAAGTCTATCTTTATAGTAGTCCTATGAAATGTTACTGTAAAATCAAGTCATATCAGATTTATCCTTTCAAAGTATTGCTGACTTATCATGTAATTTTTTGACAGAAGCCGTATTTAGGGTCCATGTTTGAGGCGTGGTATTAAACATTTACGGTAAGTTTATGTATATTACAACTGCCACTAAGCACCTTTACTTATAGACTCGATTAAGTACTCGCGAAAAAAGAAAAAACAGACCTTTTTGGGTCTGGGTCTAGGATTTCTTTATTCTTTCCTTATTCTACTTAAATAAAATATAATATTATTTTTTTACAACACTAAAATTTAAACTTATTTGTCCTTAATAACTATGCAAATACGAAATAACACAGTTCCTACCTAAAACAATGCATTTGGAACTCAGTATGCGTATTAGAACACGGAACGTGAGATGTCATGTACCGATGCATAACCGTGTGACATACATACATCTATAAACAAATGAATCATGACTTTCTTTTAAAAGCCAATACTTGACCTTGAAAATCAATTAGAACCTCCTTTAAGAAATAATGTTTGATCTTTTTGATTTTTATGAATGATTTCTTTGATGCTTGTAGTTATTCCTCAAAATGATGTTTGTAATGTTATAAATAATAAGGATTGTAATTTGTGAAATATTATCTGTAATTTTTTACTGGAAATGACACAAGAGTAAAGTTTCTACTCCCGTTATTGCCCCAAGTAGAGAACGTAGTTAATGTATTACAGCGCCACAGCGGTGAGTAGCAGAACTAAACTGCTATTTCGAAAGTAAACTTCGTTTTTTTATTTAAAATAAAGTCAGCCTCTTACCGAATTTACCATAAAAAAATCTTATTGTTCTTTTGCGTGTATCGAGTGATCTGATCATTTGTATGTATTTAAGAAAAATAGCCATGAAACACAAAAATCTGCCCCGCGAAGGGCATTTATCTTTAAGTCATTATATGCTACAAAATGGCTTACTTTTTATTGTTGATGTAAACAAAGGAAATAAAATATCAATAAAATATTTTCATAAAATTATCATTTAAATATTCACAGGTATTAAATTATATTCCTAAATTTAGTACTGTCAATTATATTCATCTATAGGTTATGTAATATGACATAAACCGTGTTTTGTTAATAAGCCATAAGTCTGTCCTGGCAAAAGCTAATAGCTTTAAGATTTAATTTTTTTTTATGGTTATAAGTTTAGTAAGTATTATTCGCCGAACACGCCCAATATCTTTACCAAACGTATTTCGTTATGCGTACTGGTAGTCTATTTTTAAAAAAATTTTTTTTTTATTATTCATTGATTCAATGTGCAACATGGTGTAATAGTTTCAGCATCTTGTAAAATAAAATCTTGACGATTGTAAAAAGTGGCGGACCTAAAATAAAAATATTTTGATAGGGTGTCAAATCGTGTTTTGATAAGTGATTTATTAAATTGCCCTTATTTAGGTGACCAATTGATTGTACATACAGATGTATATACGAAACGTAAAAATGTAAAATTAGAAGCATTAATATGTACTGACGAGTCATAAGTGTAAATTATGTTACCTATATGATTAAATGATTTTTTACTTTACTTTAAACTTATTGGAAAACGAAATAAAACAGGCATTAAAATAAACAAATTTTAATTTATTGATAATAATAACTAAAAAAAATATTTTACACAATACATTATAATTAGTATTACACCACTAAGAATAATTATTTTTAAACATATCAAAGATGTGGACTAGCAAATAAAAGTTAACTTATACAAATTCTTTATTTCATTTTATTTCGAAGGAGACTGTTTTACGATTAAATCATATAGCCAAGATCCTTATCATTACGGAACCCAGTTGTTATATTCAACTAACGAACAACCACAGTTAAGTCTACGGTAGAAACGTGTATGAAGTTCATGACTCTTAGAAAAGCTACTTTTGTAATCTGACGGATAGCCCATAGTAGAATATAGCAACAGGGTATAGACAAGAATACAATTTCGAAAACTTTATCATCTAACAAATATTAAATAATTTTCAGTAAGCATTGACACAGCTATTACTGTGCACAGATAGCTCAATGAAAACCCTTTAATATTCAACAATTACTTAATTCTGTTAACAATTAATCAATTACCATCCCTTCGTATATATGTAAGGATTACAATAAGTTATAGGTATATATGGCAGTCCATGTAAAAGTGAGAAAAATTGGTCTGAATACAAAATATAAACCAAATAGGAGCCATCATCAAACTATTCATTAAATATCATACCATATTAATTATAATATATTATACATAATGCAAAACCGTATGTTATAGTACACCGATCGGAAAAGAAGCGGTTACAGTAGAAAACAACTTTATTTTTAAAAAAGTCTTATAACCTAGGCGTACATCTAGCAGACCGTAGCTATTCCATTTGCGACATTGTTAATCTGTCCAATGCGACCGGTGCATCCACCGCTCCCGCCAAATTTTGACAGCTGTCAACTTTGAACAGATAACGCAACACTCACAATGCGAAACACTCTTATATAAAGATGCGTGTGAAGTTTGCTCAATGACAAGGGTGAAACCCGAACTAAACTTGTGCGTGGATCAAAGTATCTCGAGGTACTGATATGCCCGTTGCCCGTATATTAATGCGACTGTAAACATTTAAAAATCACTAATGTCGTGTTCAGTTCACGTTTATGTGTCGATTTGTGCGAACGATGTATTGAGCATGAATTTAAAACTATATAAGTATCAGTTGTTGTGCCGTTCATATAAAAGCAAGATTCCAAAGTCATTGAGGATTGTTCATTATCGCGTCTGCCTTAATATATAAACACCTACATATTATATACCTATCTATGATGAAGGCTTAAGATAAAAAAAAAATAGCGCGACAACCATCCATCGGCGAAACAAAGAAGCCGTCATAATAAAACCTTTGTGCTTAATTAAAAAATACAATACTGCCACAAAAAGGTTACATTACCGAAACTGTAGACAACAAAATATGAGTTTTCAATAAATAGCAACACAGAATGTTGAAGTTACAAATGCCTTAATATTTTAAACCCTTATTTCCTAAAAGTAGCCTTAATCTAGGAAAATGAACTTGGTGTTGCCAGCCCCGAGGGATGAAATTTGACGATTGTACCGATGTTTCGTTTTCGTAAGTACTTCGGTGAAATCTCCTAATGCGTATGCTTCAATACGGATATTATGTCGGCTTTCGATGAATTAAAATCGTAATAAAAGGGGGAACTTCACGTTTGTTTGTAATACAAAGCCGATTCAGTATCGTGTACATCTTTTTTTTTACAATAAATTAAAAATTGTTTATTGAAATATGTACTATCGTCAATAGTCTTTATAACAATCTCAAGGTTTTCGTGACCATGCAATTTGTTCGCTTCAGACTAATATAGATATATTTTGTTGCAGAAATGAAATAAAACATGACATTGACAGTTTGGCGTTATTAAAAACTTCTTATGAACAAATCGAAATCTAATCGTACACATGACTTATCTAAGCAGTACAACACGACAAATCATAAATTAGCACAACTTTAAATTAAAATCAGATAGCGATGATAAAAAAGGAAATTCTCATTCAATAAATTACATTGTTACAATAATATAATTAATATTTGGTTCTTTAGGATTTCACTTTCGATTACAATTAACTTTTAAACTGTAGTGCGATGAAATTATATCTGAAATAGAAAATAATTTAATTAATACTTTTAATGTTATTAATTTATTTCCGGGCTTAACTGCCGAAATTCAAACAATTTACATGATTTATTTTATTTCATTTTTTTTTATTAATTGACAGGGAACCAAAAAAAAATTGCAAGCATTAAATTCAATTTTTTTCATTCATGGAAACGATTCCAGGTGAAACAATTTGCCGTAAAGATACATCAATGAACCAAACTTCGAAATGGGTACCAAACATTGGGTAGTTCAAAAATATGTTTATGTCAATATACCATTTTGAATTTTTTTTTAAAGATTTAAAAAAAACTCACCAATTTGAAGAAAATTAAAGCGGCAGCGTTCGCCGTCTTCAGACTGGCTCCAAAAGGCTACGCTAATAATTATATTATTACATAAATATTTAAACAGTGCAGACATACTCATCACTACCCACCAGTAGTTAAATGCTTTCATTTTGTTAAGATATCATCTATGTATACAAAATAAATAAAGCAAAGTGCGTAATTCCCTGTCTTTAATCTTCACAGGTTACACACACCCCAAAGCACGGTTTTAACTAGCAAAAATATCGAATTTGTTCGACATATTTGCTAGTGAAAACCATCGCCATTTTGAATTGGCCGCCATCTTAGATGTCAATTGTCAGTGGAATAGTGACATTATTTTAAGTAAGGGGTGCGTGGAGGCATAGGCCAAACGAGCATTGGAAAACAATTAGAGTAGCCCAGTTTTAGAAATCAAATTTTTAAAGCGTACATTTGGATCTATTATGTTTTAAAGCGTGATTTTTGTTTTCCATGAGATCGCTTGTTTGGTCTAACCTTAGGGGATGTTTGGGATGCAAAGGGGATTACGGGTGGATTTAGTTCCAGATGCGAAGGAACGAATCCCACGATCCGGTGGCTACGGCCATGCCGTTCTCGGTGACGCCCAGACAGGACACACGGTTGTCGTGGCCGGCGAGAATACCTGGAAAATACGAATGTTTCTATAAACTCGGTAAAAGAGATTGCCACTATATGTCTTTACCATGGTTTTATTTAAGACTAATATATAAAAACTAGATTGTTCAGTTTCACAATGTACGGATAAGTTCTACATAAGTTCCAAATTAGCTATTTATTACTTATTGGTAAGATAAACACTATTGTTGCGTTTCACGACTGTCAGATAGCACTATTCGTCACATAAAGACCATCATAAGTTATGAGCCCGATGAAGTGTCAAATAGCACAATTTATCTTCCAAATAATTTATGTGTTGCATAGCTATTTGGTACTTTATCCATACATTGTGAAACAGACCCTAAGTCTTTGAATGTCAGACTAAACAGAAATCACATATAACAAAACTGACTTTACAGACAGAACATCGAATATTGTTTTCTAAGTTTTATACAAAATAAAATATCTATTAATATAATAATTCATACCGGCACGCTCGCTCTTCATAGAATCCCACACGTTGCAGTTGAAATCATCGTACCCGGCCAACAGCAGACGACCAGACTTGGAGAATGCGACGGACGTGATTCCGCAGATGATGTTGTCGTGAGAGTACATCGCCAGCTCCTGGTCAGCGCGGATGTCGAACATACGGCACGTGGCGTCGTCAGATCCGGTCGCGAATGCGAAGCCAGACGGGAAGAACTGGAAATTAATGATTTCGTTTCATTAAATGATGTTCCAGTAATTGGCGCGTTATATGCATTTCAGCCACGACCATGTACAAACAGACGCATCAGGCACATATGGATCATCACCTACTCGGGAGCGTTCAAGTATTACATCATTTGTCAAACGTTTCGTGACCACCTAATGACTCTTTATACCTAAAAGTTACCATTATGTGGTGTATAGTACTGAAAAGTCGAAAATAATATTAGCGATAACGCGTTATTAAATCCCCGCCCCGTATCGTAACGTTTTGCAAAAGGAACCTACCAGGCCCCCCCTAACTTCTCAGGTACATTTTAGGAAAAAGCTATAAATCCTCGATATTTGGCATTCAAAATAGAAATTTAAATTCATATCTCGATGTGTTATATAAAAAAGTTTCAAAACATTCACAAAATCCAATAACTACTAACATTATAACGTAGTAACGTTGAAAAAAAAATAGAACCATTACAAGTACTATTAACTGCGATATGATTTTGCTTGATGTAATTTTATAAGGGTGGTATTTTAATTTTATGAAAAATTAAATAGGCTTTCGTCTAATGATTTCCTTGAAAATAGTAATTAAATTAGTGTTTCATATAGCAGAAACATAGCACAATACAAATACATATTTTACACTTATAGTAATATTGTGTAGTGTTATTTGAATGTTCTATTTATTCTGAAACTGCTTAATAAATATAACAGCCAATCCTAAAAAAAGAGTAATCATGTGACTCAACTCTAGATCTAACCACGTAATGGCGTGTCCACGACATATTATCATGTCTGATGGAAATTAAATTTTAACCAATAATATATAATTCTTTAACATTAAGTGTGATCTACCATTGAATATTAATTTAGGAAGATTGCAATAACTAATGTATGTTTGCATATTATTTGAGGATTCTATCATGGTATCATAGGGGCATAAGTGTTGAGCATGGTCAAAAACATAAGGTTAAAAAAAATTGACCATAAATAGTGTATGCAGTGAATATAATTTTCAATATATATAACAGGGGGCAAGGGCTGAAGGCTCGCCTGTTTTTGTGATACCGTCGCCCATGGATACTCACATTGCCAGAAGGCTCGCAAGTGTGTTGCCGGCCTTTTAACAATTGGTAGGCTCTTTTCTTAAAGGACCATAAAATACTCACAGTGACAGCGTTTATGTCGCTCTCGTGTCCCGGGAAGGTCTGCTTGCACTGACAGTCCCGGATGTCCCACAGCTTAGCGGACGCATCACAAGCGCCGGAGACAAAAGTACGTTGATCGGGTGCGAGTGAAAGAGACATCACATCGCCCGTGTGACCCGTAAATTGACCGCACTGCTGGCCGGTCTCGATGTCCCAGAGGGCGCTGTATTTAAATTGAAATTATGTTACACTAGCGTAATTTAAAAAAATCTATTTACCAATCCAGGGTTTTGTATGATAATGAATGTGTTTAACACCCTCATTAGGCTTACAACAAATTTTCAGAAACAAAATACAAAAGTACACAAAACAATCTTTAATAATTTTAATCAAAAGTTTCGCTTAAATCAATCAGGGTCATGTAAATAAATATGCAATGCGATTATCACTAAGTGATGTTGAAAATAAACATGAAAATATAAATTCGTACATAAATTTTCCATAAATTCCTTTTCAATAAAAGATATAACAAAAATGCAATAAATTGTATTGAATAAAATAAACAAATATTTTGTATTTGTATTGATTGGCCTTGTATTTGTTAGAGAATTAAGTGTATAGTGTTAATTAGTTTATTTACTTAAAAGGGGTATGATGATACTATTAGGTATTTAGGAAGTAAGTGCCAAATTATTATTTATTCATTCCGACAATCCTTCAGACCATTTTGCAGAAAATCTAGTTCTCCATTTTAGCCCAAACAACTATTATTTTAGGTTAGTTAAAAGGTTTGACAAAATGATCAATAAAACGCAGATAATATCGATCGGCCTTCTGTACCAAATAATTTTAGACATGACAACTTTTGAATCTAGATTACTGACCAGGTCATATCTCCAGAGCTGGTGAGGATCTGGTTATCATCGAGGAAGCGGCAGCAGGACAGGTACCCCGAGTGGCCTGGCAGCTCACGGGACACACGCACGTTGCCTTCGCGGGTTTTAAGGCTGGAACATTAATAACGTTATATAAAAATAAAAAAATAAAATAAAATATGTTCATTATGGAACATAAGATACAGGTATCACTTATTGGTATGTTATTTAAAGCTGGCGGCTTCAACACATTTACACTTTGTGCTTGTGAAGTGTCTGTGAATAAGCGCGAGGCGTGATGTCAAACTGAAATACAATCACAAATACATCATGAAAAGACTGTCCGTCTCTCTCGCGCTCGGTCAAGCTTATGAGTGTAAAGTGACAGTTATTGTTTTGCTTTTGCTACTGTTTATGTTGATCTTTTTTCAAACATTACCAGGACAATCTCGTGAAATGGTGCACAATGTTTTTAATTATTTTAAGCAGTTTAATGAAAAAATGTTATTTTTAATTTGACATCAGATGCGACTGGGGTTTCTAAGAGGTGTATTGAAAGAATTGTTAGTGAAGTAAAAGTGAAGTGTGTTGAGCTAGGTGGAGCTATGTCGAAAAATGAAAAATTATTTACACAAACTACTCTTTTACGTTCTTGGTCGGGCTTAGAACTTTTGGATCTACCCTCGTATGCACATAATATTTATATGAATTTGACACATTTTTATTTATTTTACAACCCACCCAACCTTACTAAAACCAGAGTAGACTAAAATATATAGCTTGGCAAAAAAGTCATATTTTTAAACATACTGTATAGTGAAATTGCATTAGTGTGAGTACTATGAAGTATGAACGCGCCAGCTTTCCATAACCGACCTATATTCCACGTCATTAAATTTGAAACGGTAGACATCCCTAAAGCAATCCAGCCGGCGTAAAAACTCAATATAATCTAATCTACCTTAGAGTTCGGTTAAAATTAATTTATAAAATTAATCACAATATACAATTATTTCATATTTAAAAAAACTTTATGCTAATAGCTAAACTTACCTATAAATCGAGCAGATGTTATCGAGTCCACCACAAGCGACGTAGGAGCCGGAGGGTGCGTACGCGCAGGTCATTACCCAGGACGAGCGCAAAGGTATCGCGTGCACCTTGTTCGTCGTGTGGCTGTCCCACACTATCAGTTTGCCGTCCTGGCTGGCGGATACTAGGTTCCTGAAAATGTAACACGTTGCTAAGTTTACTCAAATACAATACTTAGTTCTGTGTGTATGATTTTTACTATGTGTGTTTAAAAGTTTCCGTTCAAGAGTAGAGTAATTAATAAATAAAATATAAAGATTTTAGTTCATTATGTATATAGTTGTAATGTATTTTAATTATTACATTCATATAATTAAACACATGTTTAAACATAGCTGATAAGCAATATTTTAGGTAACTTGAATGTACTAAAAATAACTGATGTGAGTAAGTAAAATGACAAAGCTAAAAAGTCCATAACTACAATGACTGTTTCTAAACTTTTTCCTACAAAATGTATGTGAAAATTTCCCCAAGTAAGTTAAATCTAAGCAAATTACGTTTCGAGACTACATAACATTAAGATTTAATAATAATAATCATTTCTATATCGTTATTGCCGTAGATAAACGGAACACAGTTAATTGAATGGTACTGCTTTGTTTTTCCTCAAGTACGTTATAACATAGTCCTGTCCAGTACACTAATTAAAATCTAATATACTAGCGTTAATTGCAATAGAACCACAACAGCTGATACGGTTTCAACGCAAACAAACATACGCAATCAAATAATACGTCATGTACTTCACAGAAACTGAGCCGTAACTCACGAATTATTTTAAGATTTTAGCGCAGTACATTTTATGTTACACTGTTAAATTGGGGAAACGTTTCGAAATATGCTATTAGAGAAAAATCACTAGTTAGGTACGTATTTATTGTAAACGAGTAGTCTTCTTGCGACAGGTTACCATAGCCAAGTAGATCGGAATCCTACTCATATATGTAATTTTTTTGTTATGACTCAGTATGACTTTGTTGTGGGATGGAAGCCTGGTTATCCATATCACAGGTTCTTACCTAGCTTGGAAACCAGTCCCCCAATACCTTCTTAATTGTAATCGTAATGTTTGTTACAAATGTTACATCGGAGAAAATAAAGAATTATTATTATTATTAATCAGTGGACCAGATCCAGAGACCCGAAGAAAACTTGTTTCGTGTTGGGCGGCTGGTAGGCACTGGAGGCCTCGTAATTGGGAACCTTTTTTTTCTTCATAATAATAAATGTTTATAGCTAAGAATCTTTTAAAAGTTTCTTATGAAATCGTTTTATTGCAATTTGTGGCTCTACATAAATTGTCTAGTATAAATAAAATACGTCATAAACTCTTGTGAAAAAAAACAAGGAGATCTAATGAATATTATGTTCTAAGGATTTCAGTTAATTAAATTAAATTTAATTGTAATGAAAAACATCAGGGAGCCAAAAAGAGTCATTGCAGAAGAGTGGAAATGTATTCCTCTGCCTGATTTTGGCAATAGGAGGTCACACTCATTAGATTTTTACATTTGTTACTTTATTTAATTATAAAAAGTCAAAATCTTCTTTTCTTTATTGCTGACCACTTCGTATTGTTTGGCAGTGTACATCGGTATTGAAGAATTCATAAAAAAATAATATTTTCAATATGAAATTTAAAAAATATTGCCAGAATCCACTTCACACGTATCAATTTATACGATTATAAGTATACACTACGGCAGACAATTAAATTTCATTCAATTAACTGAAAATAGACCTCAGAACGTAAATTTTCTTAGGTGCCCGTTTTTTTGCAAAAGAGATTTATATATACAGCGCTAAATATAATTTTCATAATGCTCACTTATTATGTTCATAATCTGTTTTTTATTTACTTTCTTTACCTTCAATATTATTAAACTTAAAATATTTAAAACACATTCACTATTATAATTTCGAACAAAATATATTTACGAAACACGAATATGAATATTTTATTGAATACGCAAAGAACCTCTTTACCCTAATGGATTAACACAAAACATTTTTGTGTAATTAAATCTGAACTTGCGTAAGCTCGCGTCTTTGTCAGGTAAAATAATTTATACATACATATTATTCTATATACATAATTTTATTACAAAATTTAGGATAGGATAAATATTTTGTATTGACATAATTATCATAGCCAAATCTAAATTTAGTAGTTCTGTTTGCAAACAGTACTTGATAAAGTATGATTAGTTAATCACATACATACTCTAGCGGCACACTTTTTTACTTATCAAAAAAACAATATCATTAATACCCAGGAACTATTTATTAGAACTTAAAAGTATATCTCAGATCATAATTGCATGAAATAGTGACGTTTGGAATGGTAGTTCTTCGAAACGTTTTTAGTAGTGGCTATTTTTAAGAGAAAATCTTCCTATAAAAATACATACATTATAAATTTTCCTGTTACCTGTTTGTTTGTCTAAGAGATTTGCTATTTCGTCTATTCAATCCATAATAATAATTTTACAGTTAGATAGGCATTCTTTTTAGGTTTTGTCCCTTTAAAATGACCCGAGAGTGATAAAGACAATGTATGACTATTTGACGCTTACTAAATTATGAATAGCATAAAGATGATTTTTGAAATCTAGGTTATACCTGGAGTCGCTGCCCCAATGCATAGCGTAGATCTTGGCGAGGTGTCCGCGCAACGTTCGGCGCGTGCGCATCTGGATCCGCCCGATCGGCTCCAAGTTTGCCGTCGCCTGTGAGAGCGACGTATCGCACGCTGCCTTGCGTGCATCCTAAATTAATACAAATATTAGTATTCCAAAACATATACGTTTTGATTGGTGTTCCAACATATATTTAAAAAGCTTAAGTCATTTTGTAAAATTTACAGTCGTTCTCAAAGCATAAATTCTATACATTGTTATGAATCAAAATTGATTGAGTTATGGACGGCTTTATGAGTTTTCTTTTATTTATCGATTATCTATGAGAGATTTCCTTGAAATCGTTGATAAAGAATTCAAAGAAAAACCAAATATAGGATTGAATAAATTTACTTCCACGATAGTACGACTAAACTACCATATGTCAAATTTAAAATACGTTCAGGACTTACGGGAGTCATATTTAGTGCTAGGTCTCGACTGTAAATCTCACTCTAAGATAAAGAAGAGATGATACAGAACAGAGTAATAAACTCATCTTGATAATCAAATTTAATTTTGAAAATGTATTGTGATGTAGAAAATACCCTTTTGGCCTTTAAGATTTAATTATCATTAAATTAAAAAAATAATATTATTAATTTGTAAGATTTATCTTAGACACAAAAGTGAAAGAAAAGGTTTAATTTTACCTTAGTTTTAACGATGTCTTCTCAAGTTTTTGACTACACTATTGCATTTCAATACATTTAGGGAAGTATACTATACATGCATACATAACATAAAAATTATAGTTATTATTCGTACTTAAGTTGCGTACAGTTCATAATATACATTACTATAGGCTCAATGCGAATTTTTCTCACCCGTATGGCATTCTTGAGGGTTTCTGCCTCCTGACGTAAGCTGTCTAATTCATTCATCGTGCCGCGCAGCTTTAAAACCTGTCTTGACTATTCGGTTACTATTGCTGCCTCCAATGCACTGCACCAGCCTGTAATCAATAAGGATAAAGGTTAGTTGTCTTATTAATGTATACCGATATAAAGAGATGAAATAATAAATATAATCCAGTGACGCTGAAATCGTCTATACATTTAGAATTTCTGAACCTGTTTTATTGATTTTATTTTATAGGTAAGAAGAAGTAAAGGCCTATTCAAACCTGAGCGATATTCGCTGCCACTGTGGGTAGAGGTACATACCGCGCGGGTTTCGCTCAGGTATTTAGCACCACCCAGCATTTAGTATCAAGAACCGCGGCCAGAGCGACCTGAGCGATATTCGCTGCCGCTGTGGGCATACTCACTGGGTTTTCCCTGCCGCAGACGGTAGCAAATACCGCTTAGGTCTGAACAGTAATATTACCGCATACCCACTGGGTTTTCTCTGCCGCAGACGGTAGCGAATACCGCTTAGGTCTGAACAGGCCTTAATGCAACATTTCCTTTCACCGATCTAGTCTTCTAAGTACATAGAAAAAAATCAATAGGCGCACATTCAGGATTGGAATACTCGACATATGGGACAGTATTGAGGGAGAGTTTGCAAGAATGTTTCTATGAAGTAATATTTAGAACCGATTCAAGATACACAAAACCCGAGTTGAATTGTAAATATACTTTCGTATTTTTAAGTTGATTAAAAAACATGGTATACAAAGCCGATACTATGACAATAAAAAGGTAATTTCATTATTACTTTAACGTGAATTATAATAGCGATTATATCCACCTTACCCTCCTAAATGGTAATATTAAGACGCACTGATAGGTATAAAGCAACTTATAAATGTATAGATGACAAAAATGCAGAGACATTTTAATCTAGTATACAGGATTCCGTTATTGAATATGGAGTGCTTCGCGCACATTGTCTGCGCAGGACAATAACCAATGGGAAACGTAGACTGCGCCTTAGTCCTTACACGAACCATTCTTGTGTAAGGGCGAGTGAACAAAAATCGCTTATTACCTCAACTGATAGATTTAACTAAGATTGATGCAATTCACAACTAGAAGTGTTTATTAAGTTAGACTTTATTGGATATTCAAATTTAGCGAATTCAGTGAGAGACTACGTTAGAAGCTCCGTCACTATTCCGACAGTCACACAAGGAGTTTCCTTTGCTCTTAGCGGTCTGTTTTCCTCTTTGTTATTTTAATTATTTCTTAACACGTTAAACATACTTTTCAGCTACCCAACAAGGTAATGAAGTCTAAAACAGGCAATGTATGATTGAAGAAAACGATAGGTTTTGAAAATTTTTAGATACACAACTCTTTATAAATATAAAAATACCTAGAAATATTAAACAGGTACGCCATTGAATTTCCTTCTCGTTTTTTGTTTGCATTTCGAAAGTAGTTAATAGTTATCATTCGTACTCTTCGTCCGCATCCTTATATAGCACAATGGGGCATTCATGCATAAACACACGCACATACACCTGCCGAGTGTCGAAGTGGCAACAAGTACAAAAGCCTACCTATACAGCGACGCACTGTTACTTACTACACAAACGACACTCAAATATAACAGGTGCTTTGAAAGTAAATAACCAATTTCGGCGTGGTGAAAAGTGTCAGCTATTTCGCTAGAGAAGTCTTTGTTAAAGAACAGCAAATGAGCAGAGGTATGTGTCTACGTGTGGACAAGAAAATTTCACAATAGCACATATAAAACGATTACCAACCGTCAATATAAAAGAGCCATTTAGTTTAGTTACACGCTATAGTCTACTGTCTCATGATAATGTTTGTTTTGTTTTATATAAAGCTTATTATTATTATATTTTGTTATGTATTTACATTTTAAAATGACGTGAGTCATAAGAACAACAAATAAAATAAAATCTTTGAAACTATGACCATAGGGCGTGTTTAATTCAACTTGTATGTGTAAGACGTAGAAAGGACCTCGAAGGACCAAATAAGTTCTATTAGCACCCAGGCTCGGAGGTTTGATAGGGGTAAGTGGGCTGGCGAAAAAAAATTACAAAATCAATACACGTAGCATGAACTACAAATAAAATTGTTAACATAACATATAAGTCCAGAACATACTTATACCTAAATTAGCTATTTCAATTCGTTCAAACAAATAAAGATAAAGGCTAAAGGTAAAGAAATGATATTAAAGATGTTATATGTACAATTAATTACAGTAATATAGTTAATTTACGCTTGTATGTATAGCTATAATTAACAATATGGTAAACCATGTTTTGTTATATTTCTATAAATAAAATATTACACAGATAAGCTATAATCAATATAACATTGACGAAATAATATCGTAAGGCACATCACTAGTAGTGCTCTTTTAAAAATTTAAATAGAACATAACGTAAGAAATAATACGTTTGATTCCGCAGAAAGTATATCAGACGACTTCAGAAAATCGTTACATCATCATTAATAATTATGTATTTATATTTTAATAAATCTTTTTTATATTTTATTTACTACCGCTATTTCAAATTAGTATTTTTTAATCCAAGAATCTCAAGATATATATGTGAGAAGAGACATTTATAGCTTTATAGACAATTTTGAGCCTTCCCTTGCTAATGTTATGGTTTAAATTCGTATCTTACGTGAAACGGCAATTACTGCCTTTCAAAATAAGTTTACGTCATTCAAGCAAGGTTTACTTTTTGTCTATCAACGCAATAGTTTTCGTCGATTCTATGAATCTTGTAACCGCTATGTTGTGATAGACATATATCCATAAACAGATAAGCAACAATCCGCAGCCTTATTTACAGCTATTTAGATTAGCTTATCAATAACATTGTAAATGTAAATTTAATTTAAATGTACTATATCAACAACACTTAATATACTTATAAACCAATCTAAATCTGCTGTTTCATTTATATAAAAAATTAATTATTAACACTTAGATCATAAAAGGTTTTCATTTAAGAAATATCTTCTTCACAAACACAGTATAACAAAGAAGAACGAGGGAAAAGAGACGAAATATGGACATTTATCAAAATATACGTTTTTTACAGTAACATTTATTGTTAAGTCTCAAGCGCCCTTGTATTTTTTATAGAGCTGCTACAACCTATAAATGGTTATAAAAAAAAGATTATATAAAACCTACCCTGTATAATTACTGACTGAAATCAACTGGCGCTTTGCTGTGGATGAGAACTGAGGATGTAATTAAAAAGCAATGTTGGCACTACGGGAAACTAGAGATCCTTTAAAATATTAGTAATGTCGCTGAAATAATGCAAAAAGCAGCTTTGAAGAATATAATTACGAGCTTGTTACATTCATACTTTTAGGATAATATAAGAAGAGATTAATACGAAATCCCTTAGCCCCAAATATAAAGGCGTTGTGTCATTATTGAACCTGTTTCACTGGTAATTTTTCTTGAGAAAACAGTAAACAATTTTTTTCAATTCTCGTGAATACAAGACTATTCCATTTTTCTAAAATCATACAAAGAAAGAACTGTTACATTTATGTTTCTTATTTTCAAACCCTTGACGCGTGATATAATCCTTTTCACACCAAGTTATATAAAATGCAAGGTACTAAGGAGAATGCGAGACAATTGATATTACAGAGGAAGTCTAGACACCTCGCCTCTCTGACTTTTATTTACTATCTAAAAGAAAACGGCTTGGCTCATAACGAGTACTCGTTTCTTTGAGACGCTCTGAAGAGTGCTTGAAACATGTAAGGCTAACTAGCAAACTGTAAATGTGGTGTTATTATAATGGTAGTAATTACTGTATAACTGTATCCAAATGTCAAGCATCATTTACTCCTGGGTTCGATATCTAGAGCAGTACATGTCGTTATTAAGAAAGTGCGTTCAACGGTAGCATTTTCAATAGAAATATCTAAAATATTATCAGGAAGTATCAAGCACGACCTGGAGCAACAAATGCAGATGACTGTAGACCGTAACGGCCTACAGGACATGTTAATAAAGCACAGATCGTGCCTGGAACGGTTCTGCGAAAAAAATTGTTAAATATATAAAGACGGCAAACAAATCTGAAAGAGCTGGTCTCGCGAGGAATTGCGCCCCGGCTCGCCCATGAATATTGTAAATAAATATATTACCGATGTAACCGGGGCGTATATAATGTATCATGTTTTATTGTAAATATTAGAGATAGAAAAAGTCCCTGGACACAATGGCAGGGTAGTAGAGTAATATTAATAAAAATAATAATAATAGAAATAGCTAGGATTGGTGTTTTGACCATAATCCGGGCTAAACAATATAAGACCATGTTTGCTAATATGTTAAAAACTTTGAACCATGAATTTCGATATATTGATGGAGCCTTTAACGACTTCACGGTAGGTTAGTACGATCCGACCTCTGATTCCATACAAAAAATATTGTTTTAAGTTGTCAAAATTCCTACAAATGAAAATGTTGATACAGACACAGAAATGTATCTACCCCAAGCCTTAATTTCGGCGTTATATTCTTCCTATAAGAAAACAGTTTAACTTTAACTGCCGAAGTACAAAGCGTAAAAAGCCTACGTCTATTGCCGTAACAACTTTAACAAGCGTATCGAAATATGTCGGACGTACAATATTCTAGTCGATTTTCAACGCATTTCACACCTCGCTTACGTTACATATAAACAAGGTCGATGTATCGCTTCGAGTGTTACGTCGAAGTGTATTGAAACAGAATTTTTACTAAAGCGCTGTGATTTATAGTCTGTTCGGTTTCCTCGAACATTGCTTTCTATGGCATAGTTCATAAAATCCAATAAGTTGGTAGTATGGAGATGTCATATAAAGTTTACGTAACTAAATGATAGTGATCTTCAGAAGTTTTGGTCATCAAATTCCTCCGAAGATCAAGCAGCCATTTAGCAGCTATCAAAACTCAAAATGTGAAATATAAGTGTTTTTATAATTTGTTT